TCATCTGCCATCTGTAAAGGGAATGATCACATAAAGATGTCTCCAATTTCTTTTCCCCTCAAAGACTTGATGATAAAATTAAAAAATGATTTGAAAACAAATTTATGATTTTAAATTTGACTAATTTTTAGCTTAAATCTCTATTACCCAAATGATATCATCATACCACTTTAACCTATAGGTAAAACATGTTTGAGTAAGTCTCATAAAGTCTATAACCCTAACAACCATATTTTAAACTATTTCTGAAAAAGTTGCAGCTGCTGAAAGTAGCGATCAGAACACGACCAGAACAAATACACTGACATGTAACAATACCCTAAGTCAGAGCTGAACTCCAGCAGTTCTGGAAACCTGTGTCCTTTTCACAGACTACCACACTAGTGCAGCGCAGCTCTAAAATCTCATCTAAGTCTAGACAGCAGCACAGACAGAAGCATTCTCATTCATCTTCAGTAAAATCAACCAACTATACTACAGGGCAAGACCTCACCTGGGCACAGCAACCTCCCCTTGAGGTATCTGTGTTGTTTGTCTGCCATCTCTCAGAAAAAAAAAAAAAAAAAAAAAACCATAAAACTAGGTCTTGAAGAACTGTATTAGGGAATTCGAATTTTATCCTAACTGGGCCAAAACCTACGAGCATAGGATTACTATATAACTTAGATCATTAGAAGGCCACTCAAAGGAAAAATGGTCATCCAAAGAGGAGGCCAATACAGGAACTCAATGACAAGATACTGCAAAATGACTGTGGAAACATATGTCAGACTCATTTTTTTTAAACCATTAAGCAGTCCTTGGATTCTTTATGGAAGCCTTACTTAGTCCATCTCTAAATACAACAGCCTGGCAAAACCCCGCCATCTCTCCCATAAACACAAGCTCCTCATGCCTTCTCCCAACTCCTAAGCCCATGTTTACAAGGTTGTTTACTTTTCTTTTTCTCTTTCCTTCAGTCAGGGTCTTCCTCTGTGTGGCCCTGGCTGTCCTGGAACTGGCTGTGTACCAGGCTGGCCTCTAGCTCAGATCACCTGCCTCTCTGCCTAAGTAGTACCGAGATTGTTACTGTCACTGTCAAACAGTCTTGTCTCGGAGCCCTTTTACTGTTCACTTAGTTCTTTTACATTTTTTTCATGTTGTTTGTATGTGAGACGTGCACATGTGATATGTACATCTGAGTGTGGCACAGGACAGCTTTGTGGAGCTGGTTCTCTTCTGTATTTGTCGCTTCCAGTAATAGAGCTCAGGTCACCAGGCTTGTGAGGCAATCAGTGTCACCTGTTGAGCCGTCTCCTCAGCCCTGCCTTACACTCTTTTGAGCCCCAGTTCTCTTCCTTTGCAATCCTCAAAGCATGAGCACACGGAAAATAAAAAATAAACAAGTATGCTAGTTCTCTGGTAATGAGACCCACTTGAATGTTTCAGGAAGATGGCCTTCTCCCTACAGAAACAGTAAGCCAAGCACAACCAACTATTAGCAGGTTCAAGTGTAATCCTACACAAAGATGGCATTGATTTCAGGCGCCAAGTTCAGGATTCTTACAGTACTTACACTGAAACAACTACTCATAAGTATACACTGGGCAAGTGTTTGCCTCCAACCTTCAATTTGTGTTTTTGCACCACATTCTTTTACTTCCTCAGTGTGAGTAAAAAGGACAGAAACAGAGCCTTGCAGTTAATTCATGATGAGGCTCCTTGGGAGGCTGGGAAGTGTTCAGTAACTACTTGTATAGCATGAGTGAGTAAAACTGAGTCTAATTCCCAGAACTAGGTGAACCAATGTGGCAGCATATGCCACAATCCCAGCACTGAAGAGAAAGATGTAGGAAGATCAGGAGTTCAAAGCCAGCCTCAGGCCAGTCTTAAACTTGGAGAAACCTGTGGCCCTGACCCTTACCCCAAAGGCCAACCAAACAAATAATAAAAGATCCTGGCATCATTCCTACCAACTATTTTAATTTCTTCTGTTAACAACTTTTATTTCAAACTTCCAAGAGGGAGTAGTGCTGCAGGTTTGCCATCCAGCATCAGGAAAACAATGAGTTTAAGGTCAACCTGAAGTCATCCTGTGTTCTGGGGCAGCTTGGATGACATCTTGTCTCAGAAAAGTAAACAAAGTATGACATCCCATATTATGAACTCCGTGAGACATCAGGAAAGCTACTACACAGGAATCCTGCAGTAACTCTCCTCCTACTCAGCATTCCTGCAATACAAGATAAACTGAGAAGCTGCTGTCACATTAACTGCACTGGGCAGAAGCTGTGTGCCAGAGAGGGCACTAGACACTAGAGGAGGGTAAGTTAGTGTTACATGGTCTTCTCTGAAAGTTTAGTGGGGGCTCAGTATCTACACAAGAAATGGAAGGGGTAATGCAGACAGCAGTGGGCAGGAAATGCTTTACAGCTAGATGGAGCTTGAGCTAGACCTTTTGGGTGATAGAATTTTATAGGAAATGAATTGTACAAGAAATCAGAACCATATGATCTTACTGGTAAGGTGTAATGTTTTTTTGATGATATTACAAAAAAGTTAAACATGTTAAGTCAAGAGAATAACATACAGGGAGGAGATGAGGGAGGGAGGGTGGGATTGGGAGGGAATAAGGGAGCGGGATACAGCTGGGATACAGAGTTAATAAAATGTAACTAATAATAAAAAAATTAAATTAAAAAAGATATTAAAGAACAACAACAAAAAAAAGAATAACATAACAAACTTGTGAACCCAATAACAGTATTTACCAATAACAGAAATCTTGTTTTATATATAACTTACATGTCAGAGGCTATAACATAAGCCGATTTTTAAATACTACATTCCTCCTAGGCTCCATTCTCAAGACAAATATTCAGGGTCATAGTACACTGATCTTAAATGCAGAATACAAATAATCAAACATTTTCTTAAATCACATGTTGTGTATAAGCCAAGTGAACAATGACAAAAAGAACAAAATTCAGTGTACATATACTTTCAGAATAACTCCTCCACATTGGTATTTTGGTGAGAATGGGTAAAGTTGGCGAGAGAACTCATGGGACACATATTCAGAGCGTCTCCTTTAGCCTGTTTCCTCCTCTGAAAATAAGATTTACCCACCTTAGGGACAAGCGAGAAGACTGCACATTAAGCACTGTGCACTTAGTTTTTTGTGCCCTGACTGACTTGGGAAGAACCAGGAAATGAGACAGGAATGTAGCTTCCTAGTCCTGTTGCTCCCCCCCCACACACACACACACCATCATCATCCTCTCTCCAGACACTGTGGCTTTCTGCACTTGAGAACAAGCCAGCAAGGAGAGGCTGACTGTCCTGATGGCAAGGTGCTTCCTTGACAATCAAATAAAGCTGAGACCCAAGGAATTATTTCAAGAGAATACATCTTGTAAATGATCAGACTTCACAAAGCAGTCTCTCCTTAACTAGTAGGGCCCATGAACACCAGAGAAGTGGTATGTGGCCTATCTACCCAGTAGTAACACATTTTTATAGACAGGGTATCACTCCGTTGCCTTGGCCAAACACAAACTGGGATTGCAAGCAGGTACAACCACGTTAATTCCTTCCCCATTTCCTGACCACTATGTTATTTATTTATTTTTTTTAACAAATAGATATCCTTTTAGAGTACAGTTAAAAACAAAACAGTAAGGCAGACATGAGGATTCACCTGGGAGTCTTCATGGTACAGGGCTAGCCCTAGCTGTACCACCACCCACAGCTGTGTCACCGCCGCCTCCACTTCCTAATCCAGCTGAGGGCAAACTGTGTTCCTGTGTTCCACACCACCTGCCACCGAGATGCCCCTCACTGCTGCTCAAAACTATCAAATCAGTTTGTCTTTTTAAAACACAACTGTAGCCTCCAAAACCTAGCTTTTCTTTCAGTTACTTACTCCCCTCAGTTTCTCAGCTATCTTCTTTTTCAGACTGCGTATACATCGCTGAGATCTGCAATATTAATTATCTTCAATCATCAACCCTCTGTTGGGACACAATGAGTTCCTCACGTACCATTCCTTGTTTTCATATATAACCCTTTTATTTTATTGTCTCCGATAGTTAAAGTTCCATTATAATTTGGGACACATGACAGTCTGCTCCGACTCCATTCGTGCAGGCGGTGCAGAAGGCAATTCTTGAACTTTGCAGTTTAGGGACAAGAAACGAAGAACTCACTTTTCCAATTACAAGAGCGGACCTTAAACCCTACTCTAGGGAAAAGTTCCCAGTTCTGCACCAAATCACAAGTGCTTCCTTCAAACCTTCTCCAGCCTCTCTAGACTGCAACCTGGTTCCCCGACCCAAACCTGCAGCCAACCATCCATCTCCTGTTTTCTCACCCTCAAAAGCCATTACTTGCTCTCCACTCATCCCGAATATAATCAACCTCCTTCCACTGCAAACACTCCACACCTCTGCACTTCTCAGCTCCCTTTCCCCCAAAGTTGGCACTCCCTCAACAGGACGCCATTTGTCACCCCCTGAAAACTACCAGCATGTGTCTAAGCCCCCTCAACCTGCTGAAAAGTCAAGGGGCTCAACTTGCACCCCCTCCGCCGAATCGACCCCAGAACACGGGCACTCGTCGAATTCCTATGGCAGAGTACCAACCCTTACAAAGACTGCCCATGCCCCACTGCTACCGACGACTTCCTTTCCAGAATGTGGTCATCCCAACAGACTCCCCTCGGCCGTACGAGGCTCGGGCTCTCCACGCAGGGCCTCTGCCCACCGTGGAGGCGGCCGCTCCTCCCTCACTACTTGCAAGTTGTGCTTCTTACCACCTGTTCTCGCCAGAGTGGGGTACACCTTTGCCCGGGCCCGCCTCTGCCCGCCCTCTCCGGTCCCTCCTGCCCGCCAGCACCCGCGCCGGTCGGCTCCGCGGCGCCGCTCGGATGGCCGCCCCTCCCCCGGGCTCGGAGGGCGCTCGCCGCCCGCACCCCGGCCCCGCGGGCACCTGCGGCCCGGCCCCCCCAAGCCCGCACTCACCACGAATAGGTCTGCTCCGCCATGGCGCTGCCTCTCGGGGCTCCGCGGCTCGCTCGGCCGGCGGCAGAGGGCGCGGCCGGGGGCCCGGCGACTTGCTCGCGCGGCGGACAGGCACACGGGGCTCCGACGGGCTCCGACGGGCCCTGCTCCCTGGGCCCCGGCGCGGGCCGGGCTCCGCGCTCGGCCTCGTCAGCCGCGGCGGCGGCGACGGCTCCGCTGCGGCTCCAAACCCAACATGGCGGCGGCGGCGCGGAGAACAAGGGCCCGGGGCGGGCGAACGGCAGCTCGGGCCCGCGCTCAGTGCGCGCC